ATAATTTTATATATCACATATATATACACAATTATGTTATTCAAAGATAATCATAAAATATAACGTTAACACTAATTTTTTTATAAATCTACATTATTTTCTTTTATTTTTGTATTTGTAAATTATTTTCTTCAAACTTATTGTTGATTTTATTTGTCCAAGTGATGAACATGCATGTCTTCTATATGTCTTAAGAGTGTACGTATCTAAAAAATATTAAAAAATAATAAGATACATTTTGATGAATGTCTGACATGTGAAAAGAAATGTTCGATGAGTGTCGATATCCAACACAGACAAGATATGGACACACCGCCTTTTAAAGGTGCCCATCCTTCATAAGCTCCGTATGTTATGTTTTCTACATTTTGTAACATTCAATACAACCAGGTCCAATACAACCGGGGCCAATTTTGAGGGAAAGCCGAGTAAGCGGCTTTGGGCCCCAGGAAAAAATGGTTGCGAAAAAAGCCCCCAAAAAATGTCAACTATTATAAATAAAATAAAAAAAATAAAAAACACAGCAAGAAACCAAAAACTTGATTGAATTGCCGTTTGGCAATAGTTTTTTTTTATTTTTTTTTTTTTGGCTATTTTAGCTTGAGAATAAAAGTTTGTTTGGTTTGAATTTTTTGATTTTTGTGAGAGAGAGTAAAATAATTATAGTTTGAATGTGACATTTTTTCTTATTGATTTTTTGACTTATTTTGTCTTTTTATAACTATTTAGCCAAAGACTCATTGCCAAAAAAAGAGTTGGTGAATTATTTGATGGATAGTTGTTTATCAAACGTATAAGGGTTTATTGCACTTTCTTTCTCTAAATTATCGTCAAATTATCTATTTGGTCCCTAAATTATCAATTAAATCTGTTTAGTTTCTAAAGTATATAAATCAAAGTTTATTTAGTCCCTGAACTATCGATTGTGTCTACTAGATCCCTAACATATATAAATTAAAGTCTATTTAGTCCCTAAAAAGATTACAAAAATAAAATATATGCTCCTACGAATTATAAATTAGTAAAAGACCCTCCCCAATTAAAATTTTATGACAGAAAAATCTTTTAAATTTTTATTTGTCTTCAAAAGGTATTTTTTTCGTTATATGTTTTAAATTAATATTAGAGTTTGATTTTTCAGTCTTGCCAATAAATTATATGAATATTAGATAAATTGAAGAAGTAGAATTAGAATTAGATAATTTAAATAATAACACTTCTCTACAAATAGTAATAGAACAAAATAATGCATTAATTACGTAACAAAAAGAATCTAGCAAAAAACTTAAAAACAATCAATAGAAAATATAAACGAAATCCAACATATAATACTAGATAAAAGCAAGCACGTATCCATTATAGAAAACGGCACTGCTACGTAGCTCGAAAATCAAATGGCTCGAGTGGCTCGAAATCCCAAAACAACGTCGTTTTAAGGTATTTTTTTATTCTCTTACCGGTAAGATAATATTTTCGAGCCATTCGAGCTCTACACATTCGAGCTCTCACGCATTTTCCTATAGAAAATGAATAATAAAATACTGTAAAGAATTACCTTTATCCTTATAAAGGAAATTCAATATATAGATTGACGCTACTTTTACTAATTTATAATATTTATAGCCTTATATTTTATTTTTGTAATCATTTTAGAAATTAAATAAATTTAAATTAAATACTTTAAGGATGAGCATGTTTGGTACGATGGAATGAAATCAAGTGGGAATGGCATGAGAGTAAGAATGGAATACAAGGTTGAATGGAATATAATGTCCATTCTCATTCTATTGTTTGGTTGCCAACATGAAATGACATAGGAATATGATGATAATTCTCATTCTCATGTATGGTTATACCTATTACACGCATGGAATGAAATAAATTTTTATTATTTATTTATTTTTTTAACAAACTAGTAACGAATAAATTAAAATTTTATATAAATCGTGATAATATTAATAGTTGTGAAAGTAATAGTGTGAGTCATAATAGTGGTGGTGGCGGCAACGGTGGTGGTGGCGACGGTGATGGCATCAATAGTGGGGCAATGATAGTAGGATGGTGGTAGTAAATTGTTGCGGCCTTAGTGGTGGTGATAAGGTGGCGACAACGACAGTTGTGGCGGCCGACAATAGTGACGGTGGCAATAGTGGCGACATCGGTAATATAGTGGTGATAGTATGGTGGTGTGGTGGCGACCGTCGTGGTGGTGGTGGTGCCAAGAGGGTGGCGGTTGGCGGTGGCGATACAATTGTAGAAGAACAAAATGGTGGTAGTGATTAAATAATAAATTTTTTTTAAGGGTCAGCAAAAAAAAATAATAATAAATTTTTATAGTAATTTTATGATGAAATGAAATGACCATTCCTTGGGTTAGACGAAGGAATAGGCTTTTCCACATTTTGTTGGAATAGCCATTCTAACGGAATGACTATTCCCACTTAAATAAGACGCACCAAACAAGGAAAAGAGAATGTAAAGCTAGAATAAGCATTTCATTTCAACCCATTCCATCGTACCAAACATACTCTTAGGCCATGTTTGTTTGGGTGGACATGAGCTTGGGATTGGACTAATAGTCCAATAAAATTATTAATCCGATGTTTGGTTAAACAATTGAAGTAGGGACTAATTATTTTAAACTTGACTATTAGTTAAGATAGGATACATAATCCAATGGATTCGTAATCCTAGGACTATTAGTCATGGGAATGCTAATCTAGTCCGCCCAAACAAACATGGCCCTAATTCTCAATACGCATAGCTCGATACTCCCAATACTTATTACACCGCAACTGTCACAAATATATATTTTATTATCACTATTTAAAACATACTAAAAGTTAAATAACATAGATCTCATTTTGGTATTTAGCATGTAATTCTAAAAATCCTTGGATTATGACATACTGTTTCTATTGTGTTCAGCAATGCTATATGCACAAAAAAATTCATGTGAAATTTACCTTTATAGGAGAATTTCTGTGCATAAATTTTTTTATGTAAATAATATTTCTCTATTGTGTTTTCTTGCAGCATTTCTAACAGAGAAGTGGGAAGCAAAAAGTGCTTTTCCATGATTGTTGTTTTAATGGGTTTTTTCCTACAAAAATAATGGTTAGATAAAGAAACAGCAACATCTACATATGGGTGTTATGATTTAAAATTGATTTTTCGTTTTTTTTAAGTCCGATTCTCGTGTTGTTATTTGGTTAATGGAGTACCCATTATTTGTTTTTTATGTTTCCAAAATAAAATCGAGTGCTTGGTTTTGAACTTCTTGTTAACATCATTATCATTGATTTAGATAATAACCTCTCTTTGGGTTTTGATGAACATGGTTTTTTCACCCTTTTTTTTTTCCAATTTAAATAATTCATTTTGTAGGGTACTTTGTGTATATCATTTATGAAAAAAATTAAATTGATCCAATAACCGTAATTTTTTTCATTTTTTTATGATTGTTTAAAAAAAATAATTGGTCCATTTTAAAAAAATGTATTTATTGTCTATTTTTTAGAGATAAATTTGATAAAATATACTATGAAAAGATTATGATTATTAGATTAAACTAATTATTTCTATGAATAATATGTACTGAAAGCGTTATAAAATGAATGATTTAAATTGTCAAAATAAATACCATTATTGATATACTTTACGAAACTCTCAAATTTTTAAATTTAAATTTAAACTCGACAAAAGTCAATACTTCACATATATTCAAGATTTGCATCTTGTAGTAGTGCTTTGCCTTCTATGGTCCAACTGCTGAAGTGGGGAATAAAGACCAATCTTGAATAAGAACATGTTTGGTGCAGAGTCTAAATCAGATGTTGGCCCACTTTTGTGTAGTTTTGTATGAAATGAAAGTGGATAATTAAATAGTAAATAATAATTTTTAACATTATTTTGTTTGATAAACAGGCTACGCAATTAACCAAGTTATTTAAGTTCAACTTGTATTTATGTTGTTAAAAATTTTTTTAAAATAAATTTATTTAAATCAATAATTAAAAAATAACATATATTTTTATTGATATTTTATTTATTTAATTTTAAAAAAATAAATTTATTTAATTGTGTAAAAAATAAAAATAAATAAATTTTTATTTAATCTAGATAAAAATAATTAAAATATTAAAGATATGTTTAATATTGCTATTATTTAATAAACTATTAAAAAAGGGTAAAATAGTCTTTTGGTCATTTATCCTATCCAGTCCGTCTAACCAAACGTTGGATTCACTAAAAATAGTCCTTTCCAGACATCTAATCCCATGAAAAAATAAACACAGGATACATATCCAATCCAACCAAATAGTCTGGGGATTCACAATCCTAGGACTCAAATCCGATGGATTCTAATCCCCCTTATCCAGTCCGTCCAATCAAACACACTCTTAATGGATTCAATCGATAGTTTAAGCACTAAATAGACTTTGATTTATATACTCTAGAGACCTAATAGATACAATCAATAATTCATGAATTAAATAGATAATTTAACAATAATTTATGGGTATAAAGTATAATTGCATATAAAATATTATTGACTATAATTATTACAATTGCTTTTGGAAAAAGAAGTTTTTTTAAAGTTGAAATTGATTAAATCTCACACTTGGTCAACTATGTCACAAGAAAAATTAAATAAATTTTGTTGATAAGTTTAATTAGGTAAGCTTGATTAGTAAACTTACAATCAAAAATGCAAGAATATTAATGTTTAAATAATACTTTGTTATAATTTGTAAAGAAAAATAGAATATTTATTTATTTATTTATTTATTTTATGAAATAACATGGTTAAAAAATCATAGCATATTACAAGCTTCGGGAATTTTTTATTTTTTTATTTTTTTTTTTTTCTATGTATAAAGGCATCATATTAGAAAGCTGTTTGAGCCCTCAAAAAATCAAAGTCAACCCTGAACGCAACACAAGAAATATCTGTACTTCATAAGCTCTGTATGATATATTTTCTACAATTTCTAACATTCAATACAAAATATTCGTACTTCATAAGCTCCTTATGTAATATTTTCTACATTTTCTAACATTCAATACAACAAAAGTAGAATCAAAAAAATACAACAAAAGGCAAGTCAACTGAAAACCTCCACCACCCCACCACCATCACCGCTGCAGCCAACTCCACCCTGCCACTGCCACCACAACTTTCATTCCATCACCACCCCTGCATTGCCGCCGCCACCATCACTTAAACCACCCACCCTCACCCCTACCCCAACCACACCCACTTTGTGTAAAGGTTCTCTCGTGCACAAGCTAGCATAAATGCAATGCAATGCAAAGTCTGCGGAGCACAATTATACAAATCAAGGAATTGGTGGGTAACTTCTGAACTAGAGCTTGTCAAGGACACCATACAAGAATATCAGATTATACAATTTTTTCTAACCCCCTCACCCTCTAAAGATCTATACATATCAGTTGGGTGGCGGGGGGGATTCACAGTAGTATACAACATGTTCTCGATAAGCTAATCAAGTTAAATCCAGGTTAGTTAGAATTAACTGTCCAAACCTCTATATTCATGCTGGTTCACAAAGGTAAAAATTCAAGAAAATTCAAGAAACCAATCGGCTTCGTTCTCCGGCGTGCTCTGTGAAAGCACCAGCAGAATTTGGAAAATTTGCTGGCAATATGCTCAACCAACCAGAACTTCTTGAATTAGCCGTGCCCAATTCTCTTGTAATTGGCAATCGTGTTAAGGATCAGAAACGTGTTTGGAATCAAAGAATTTCGCAACAGCCTGGTAGAGATTCTCTTCCTCAAATGGCTTTGACACGTAACCGTCCATCCCACACTTCAAGCATTCGTCGTGTGTGGCATGAATCACATCTGCCGTCATAGCTAATATTGGCAAATGCCACTCAGGCTTTCTAACTTCAGTGGTGGATCCTCCATTCATCTGCTGCGGCTCATTTGCCTCCTTCTCCATCTTCCGAATGTGACGCGTCGCCTGAAAACTGCAAAAAGAACGGATTAAAAATCACATTTTTCTCCACGTTTAAGTCCATTGCTGTTACCATTCAAATGTCATTGGAATAAACAAAATCACATTGTTAAATAGAAACTCAAGGGTACAAATTTGAATTTGCAGAATTTGGTAGAATTTTGTATAAAACAACTCAAAAAAATTATCTAAAGAAAAAATTAAATTAAATTCCACCAAAAAAATGAAACAATTAATAAAACAAAACAAGCACTCAATATACTATCTAAAGCAAAATAAAATGCTGAAGTATTTACATAACATGCAGATTAACAGACAGCTCAAAAATAGTTAGTTACAATTATTAAAGGTCTAATTTTTTATTTGTACAACAATGTATATCATGAAAAGAGGGCAGATGTCAAGAAACTATCTTCTGTTAGCCAATGTCGTAAACCAGAACTTCCAAGATTTTGTTCGATTTTTACGAGTATCAAGGAAAGGGTTTGTATCAATAAATTACAGGCAGTGCAATCTGAAAACCAGGAAAAATTAAAAATAAAAAGCAAGAAAGAGAAAAACTATAGCAAGAGAAAATTGATTGTTTCAAGTTCTTCAATAGAAGCATAATGATTCTCCGAAAGAAAGAAACAAACAAACAAAGTTCAATTGCATATCACGAATCATTAAAAATGTGGTCAAGTAAATATGACACTCGTAGTCCCCCATAATTTGTTCTTGTATCAATTTGACACCCAATTCTAATTGCATCAATTTACCCCTGTATTTTTCACGTTTTGTCAATTTTGGTCAATTGATAACACCTATTAAGAAATTGGGCAGAAATCAAGGCCAAAATTGTCCTTTCAAAAGGAATAGACCATTTCAATTGAACGCCAACTCTACAATCACTTTGCAAAGACTGTTTCAAATTGAACGCCAACCCCTCAATCACTTTCAAGAGAGTGAATGGATCAATTAGACAATTAAATGGAAAATTAACATATCAATTAGACAAAATTGACACAATGTGAAAAATTAAATAGAAAATTTGACAAAATTAAAACTAAAAAGACCAAATTGAGAAAAGAGACATTACAGGAATCACAGACAACTCCTTAAAATAAAATCAGTACATACCCATCCATTTCAGGCATCTGAATATCCATGAAGCAAGCATCGAAATTATGCGGTAACTCAAGCAACGCAAGAGCAGCTTTGCCGCTCTCGGCACACTCGACATCAGCTCCAAACTTCTTGAGTGCACCAGCAGCAACTCTACGGTTTACCCTATTGTCGTCAACAACCAAAATTTTCTTGCCACAAAGCAAGCTTTTAAGGAAGACAGATCCATTAACTGTGTCTTTCCCTTGTGTCTTCTTCCCCGTTCCTAACACCTGTTGAAGGCATGCTGCCACCATACTCGCTCTCAAAGGTTTCATGATCACTGTATCTGCAAAACCCACTTGCTTTGCTTTTTCAAACTCAGCGCCGGTAATACTGGTTGCAAGTAGGATCATCTTAGGCAATTTAAATGTGTGGCCATTCTGTTTCCAGTCCAACAACCATAAATTTACACTAACATCCTCGGATGACATCCATAAGTCCTTCTCAACTAGTATCATATCGGGTAGCTTTTCTTGTCTGACATGATGAAAGTAGTTGAATTCAAGAACTTGAATGATGTTCACTTAAAGAGATTGTAGATCTTAATTATATCAATAGATAACAAAATTTTTAGATCTTATGTTCTCAAATGGTGTTCTTATAGTGATTTACCGAGATTCTTTTGAACACACTTATTGGAACTGTATTTGAAAGAATACAGTAATAGAATATGCAAAAACTGTGGATGTGTTTAGTTTGTGTTTGTAAAGTAGTTTTTAAGATAAAAAAGTAAAAAAAATTGTTTGGTTTGCCTTTTTCTAAATATTCTCTCTAAAATAACTTTGGTTTTTTTTGTAGAGTAATTTTTGAGATAAAAAGTACAAAAACTTGTTTGGTTTGTCTTTTTTCAAATATTCTCTCTAAAATAACTTTGCTTTTTTTTGTAGAGTAGTTTGTGAGATAAAAAAGTAGAAAAACTTGTTTGGTTTGCCTTTTTGTAGAGTAATTTTTTAGATAAAAAGTATAAAAATTTGTTTGGCTTGCCTTTTTGTAGAGTAGTTTTTGAGATAAAAATACAAAAACTTGTTTGATTTGTCTTTTTTACAAACATGTTTCAAAAAGTAATCCTGGAAATTGGATAACCAAATACATTTCTGAGAGTTTTTTTGGAAAAATCTGTTTGGTTTGATTGCTCTTAAAAAAGTGTTTGTAGAGTATATTTCTAAAAAATTTCTCTCAAAATCAAACCAAACAAGGCCTATGATTTGTGTGACCTTTTCTCAGGCCTCGTTTGGCAAGAGGCTATTTTAGCCAATTAGCCAAAAAGTTACTAAATTAGCCAAAAAGCCAACAACTCATACCAAAAAGTCAAAGATTCTCTTTTCTCTCTACTTTTTGCACATCTTTTCGTAATTAGCCAAAAAATCATCCCAAACATACAAGTTTTTTTTACCTACATTTTTAGCCAAATAGCCAAAAAGTTACTAAATTAGCCTGTTCCCAAACGAGGCCTCAATCTATTTTTAGTACCTCAAAAGTGTATTTGTGTTGTAGGATGGCCAAGGAAAAACAAAATAGGGAGGAAAATAAACGGAAAACCCAAATAAATTAGTTCACAAATTTCTGAAGGGTCCTATCCCAGAACAACCAAGACACTCTACCATTTTGGTGAAAAAAAAAAAAAAAATAAAAAAAAAAAAAAACACTACTCAACATATGAACAACTAAAAGGGCTGGCGCATATATGCAGCCTGGCCCTCCAGAAGGCCTTCAAATAGACCCTACAAGAAACTGTGCACAGATCTATATCAAGACTCACTTTATGTGACCTCACAATCTCAACCCACATATAGGCACTCAAGCTCAGCAAAGAATAAATATAGCTTAGCACAGAGGAGAAGAAAAAAGAAGCAAAAAGCTCTCAAAAAATGTAGACCTCTCTTTAACATAACATAACCTATTTCTTTGTGGTTTGTTTATATAAACATTCAGAAAATTAATCCCAAAATAATTCTGAAGATTAATCACTCTGTGTATCACTCTGTTTATGTTAAAGGAATAGTTTTGGTTGTCATAATATTCAGAAAATTTAAATAAACATTCAACTAAGAAGTTTTAAGCCATAGAGACAAAATAAAAATAGAGCAGATTGTTTGAATAAACAATAATAGAATATGCAAAAGCTATGTATCTGTGTGACCTTTTCTCAATCAATTTTTAGTACTTCAAAAGTGTATTTGTGTTGTAGGATGGCCAAGGAAAAACAAAATAGGGAGGAAAATAAAACGGAAAACCCAAATAAATTAGTTCACAAATTTCTGAAGGGTCCTATCCCAGAACAACCAAGACTCTACCATTTTGGTGAAAAAAAAAAAAAAAACACACTACTCAACATATTCTGTGAAGTCCAAAACTAAACCATACGAAATAAACAAATTCTAATATTACAAAAGCAATGAAAGTCATTACCCTAGTACATATCATTGTAGGAAACAGAGATCAATGGATTTTTTAGTAAAGAACAGTGAAAAAAAAAAAACCAAAGAAAAAACCGAAATCGAGGATTAATTCAAGAAAGGGGAAAGGGACGGACTTAGGTACGTATTGAGCACATATCATTAAGGACAACATACAAAAATCCAAAACAAATAGTAAAGAAAGTGTTTATACTTTATTGGAAGTGTTCCAAGTTATGCTGTTTGAATCCTAGGCCAATAAGATGGCAGTCATTGCCCAGTATTTAAATAAACTAAAATTGGAATTTTCAAAGCTACCATGAATAACAAAAATTTCTATCCAAGTAACACTAAAATAAATAAAGGGCACCAAAACAAATACTTACTTGGATCCATATTTGCATGACATAGCAGCTGCCATCCTTACACAACTTACGACTTCAACCAGGATACCGAGTCTCTTCAGATGGTATCTTGTCACAGCTGCTCTAACCGGTTTCTCATCAACTATAATTGCTTTCAATCCTTGAAACCCATTAGGGACATCACCGGCAACGGGTTTTTTTGGATCACCAAAGGTGTTTTTCTCACATCTTCTGAAGGCTGCAGTGAATGAAAACGTGCTTCCAACCTGAGGACGGCTTATGAAATTTATCTGACCACCCATTAGCTCAACCAAACACTTACTAATACTCAACCCAATACCAGTTCCTCCATAATTTCTAGAGGTTGAACTGTCCGCTTGCATGAAGGGCGTGAAAACTTGCTCCTGGGCACGTAAAGGAATGCCAATCCCAGTATCTTCTACACATACCAACAAAGTGACGTTCTGAGAAGTCTCGTCATTGGTCATATTGAATTCTTCGTCACTAATTAAATGCTTAAAGGCATCCCAACTGTTGCGGTCATCAGCGGCTTCACAACCGCTTAAGGTTTTAAATTGACTGCCACTAGACAGAACCACACCGGACCCTCCATTCGAGCATGTTTCCGCTTTTGCATCCATCAAAGCTTTTGCATGTTCAGCTATATGGACTTGAACAAATATATGGCCTTGGTTGGTGAACTGACAAAAACTAGATCTAATAAGCATAAACTATATTAAGGTGGGGTTGGGCAACCCTTTTTTAGTAGCTTTTTACTTTTTTAGAAATTAAAAATGCTGATGTGTTGGGTAATTACTAAAGAAGTTTCTCTTGGATCATTTCAAAATTTATTTTTGGTGAGAAATTATCATATTACCCTTATAGTATTGTGAAACCCTTGTAGGGACACTATGGAATTTCTGAAAGTATTAAAAGGTAATATCATCTTTTCATAAATCTCATAAAAAAAAAGGTTTAGCCTTTCCCCAAACAAGCTTTTGGCTTTTTTAACCAAGGAGATCCCAACCTGAGCCCTTGATGAGCAAGAACAATCAATACCTTCGGACTACAAGTCAAGTTGACAAAATATTTTTATTTCCTTAGGCTGAGAATGAAATGGACAATAGTTGAGTTTAAATTGCAGGGCTCCACTGACATAGTGGATCATGGAAAATCATAATTAACAATAATTAAAGATATCTTATGAAATAGCAATCAAAGTACCGAGGCTCGAATGCTTACTTTGACTGAGTTGCCCACGAGATTTGTGACAACCTGTCGAAATCTTCCTGGATCCCCCAAAACAATTTGAGGAACTTTATCAGAAACGAACACAGCCAACTTCACTCAAAAAGAGGAAAACAAAAAACAAAAAAAAGAAGATGCAATGAGCCGTGAAGAACAAACAAATATTTTAGGTTCCCTAAAGGCAAAAATTTATGGAAAATAATTATGAATGGTCATAATAATTGATCCTGTTGCAGTCAGTAGAAGTTACCTCAACACCCTTGTGCCTAGACTTCTCAGAGAATAAAGAGAGAACATCATCTAGAATGGAGCGAAGGTCAAATGGTACTGCCTCCAACTCTAACTTGCCGGCTTCAATTTTTGCCCGGTCAAGCACTTCATTTATTAATGTTATCAGTGCCTTTCCACAAGCTTGAGCAGTTTGAGCATAGTCCCTTTGCGGTGAACTCAAATCTGTATCTAGTAATAGGGCAAGCATTCCTGCAAGTGCATACAGAGGCGACAGCAATGTTGACAATGGACTCTATTGAAGAACAAAAAGAAAATCAAGAAGGGATCTTTGACATACCGAGGATGCCATTCATAGGTGTCCTAATTTCATGCGAAACAGTAGCTAGAAACTGGCATTAATGACAAGAAAAGTCAAAAAAATAATAATAAATTAGGTAAAAGGGTTATTTGATTTGTTTGACAACAGGAAATAAACCATGCTCTTAAAACAGGTTTGGTGTGTGACCTGGGATTTGGCAACATCAGCTGCTTCTGCACGGACTTTCAATTTCTGCATTTCTTGGAAATCGTTCTCAACATCAACAATGTGAATTGCTGCACCGTATATCATCAAACTGATTAAAAAGATAATCATGAAAGCTAGGAACACAGTGGTGATTGCTGACCACGACATGGGTGCCTTCTGAAGGTACCTGCTCAGGATTCCAAACAATAACATCAAAAGACAAAACCTTAGAACTTCTACACTTATTAATTTATATTTGGTAAAAAAACAAATTGGTTGGTTTTCCTCACAGAATGTTTCAAGACTTTGCATTTCAAATAAGAATTAGGGGCAACGTGCACTTACCTACACACCATTTCGTGCTTTCTAAATGGGTCTCCAAAATCAAGCATGCTGACATGCTTAAGAGACATGTCACCATCTTGATATTGGTGTCCATACATGATTAAGCGATCTGAAGAGTTAGTAACATCATAAACATTCACCACAATTGCCTGGTTCCCAGCAAGTTGCCCAAGTAAGTTCTCAACAAGTGACTCGACATCAAAGGCCCCACCAAGATATCTGTTTGCAATAAGAACATCATTTTGGTCACATGCAAAACTTTGCATGAAAACAAGATGGCAAGAGAGAAAGTAGTCTGTTGATATCTACTGTCTACATAATATCCTATACATATCAAAAGAAGGCAAGAAAATTATCCCCATCACATGTAAACCAACTAAAAAACTAAACAAAGTCTTGTGTGTCGGGTACATAAATCTTTTGCTGTCATTCCACTCTGATATTTGAATTCGTGTTATAAGGGATCCAACGGGAATTTTTACATGATGACTGTTAGGCTACCTAACCTTATCACATGCAACCCTCGACAAATTATCAACATACAAAAAATGATATGCAGCCAAAAATAGTTGTGAAAGTCAACTAAAATTGTTGGGTATAAATTGCCAATATGATTTAGATTCGAAGTAAATTTTGGCACAAGAATGGTCTGCAACGCCACCTAACATTGGTGGAACAACTTGCAAGCACAATGCGGATTAAATGTTTAAATTTGGGTAGACAAGATTTGCTAGAACAAAAGAAAGGAATTGTTTCCATTCTAAAACAGCATTTAGCTCACACAACTGTGCATCATACCAGTTTCCAAGAAAAGGATATTATCTAACACCAGTCCACTAATGCAAGGGATAAAAAGAGGTGGTGGATGTAGACATAACACATGCCACCATTTGATTTCTCTTGAAACTCAAACCCAACATAACAGTCTTCAAGGTTTTACTAATGTACCGATCAACAGACCCAATACCAATCTCCATGAAGAACAAATATTGAAAGAAGAAAAATGGGCTGTCTGTGGAAATCAAGAGTTTCTGTACTAAACTAGTCAGTGAACACTTTAGGAGGCTATAATAAAATTACATATTAATAGATTCAATTCAAATTTAATTTAGAAACTACTTCAATGAGTGCCCAACGTTAATCTGAAATGTCAAGACTTTTGGACTTGATATTCGGACTCTCAATCTTAGGTGAAAATTATTTTACAAATATTGTTCATGATCAAATAGATTAATGGAGAAGTCACTTTCTATACTTAATTTGGGTTATTAAACAGACCCAAAGACCACACTAGTCACTAAGTAGTGTGCTACAATCAAAGAAGAAGAAAAAAACTATAATCTTTTTAAAATCCATATATAATTTGATTGTTAAGATTAAAATTCCTAGGGTTTTCATCCTCAGAAGTACTATGGTTTGAATCCTAATCTGAAGTGACCAGCTATATATATAGGGTAAGAAACGTATATATGTATACATATGAAAATAGTTCTAATTAAATGGCTGGAGGATTGCAGTTAGTATTTTAGTACCAGAGGAAAGACAGGATTTAAGGAGAAGATATGATTAAGCATCACAATATGATATCTGAAATGTGCTACCTGCTTAAATTACAACCACTATGCGTCTGACTTCGTCAGCAGAAGCCAAATGAAGTTATTTAACTTTCCTGATTAAAATTTTTATTAAACATAAGACAAGTTGAAGCAACAAGTCAGCTGCAGTGTGTCAAGTTCCCATCTTCTTTGGGATTCTTCAATATTTTTTTAATGGGTCTCTTAGCTGACCCAAAAATACAATTCTACCTAAGGTTCAGATCTATTGCAACATGTTATAAAAAAAAACAGTGCAATGAAAAATACAAAAACTAGGGCATACCCCGCAGTTGCTTGAATGCGTTCAACCAACGATGGGTTTGGAGGGAGCTTCGATTTGTACACAGGGAATGTCAACACAACCCCAAGATGATGAGAACCCAACAACCGGAAAGGGCTTGTAAGAACTGCTTTCCCAGTAGCCCTAGCCCTCAAAATGTTTTCCCGGTCCTCCTGCATCAATCAGAAGGCATATAAAGGCCAAAATCAAACATCTAATCTATCTAGAACACGTAAATAGCAAAAAATTTCAAAGAAAACAATCAAATTCAAGATCATACTGTTGTAAAATCAAGAATTTACCTCCCCTGACATCATATCAAGTGATTCAATATAGGAAACTGTTTCTTGGGAAAATATCACTGGTGCATACTCGTTCCGGATAGGTGAAGGCTCCTTCTCCATTGTCCTTATGGTCCAACCATGTTCTCTCTCAAATTCTTCCCTCTCTGAATGAAGCACACTCTGCGCATAAGCTACCCCACTCAGTAGTGGCCGCTCGAAGGCTGTGCAGGCCGTGTACTGAGCAAAAGTTTCCTGCATTGCTTGCAATAAATCATACCCAAATCACATAAACACATTATTTTCAATGAACGTAACATTTTAATACCAAAAATCAAAACCCATTATTGACATAAACATGCACAGACCTAATCTGTTGCTAATGGGTTCTCGTAAATCATCAAAATACCCAAAATACAAGCACAAACCTAATCAATTGCTGATGGGTTCCTGTAAATCATCAAAAATATCTAAATACCCAAAAATCAAAACCCAAATGTGACATAGACAAGCACAAACCTAATCCATTGCAAATGGGTTCATGCAAATCACCAAAACAACATCTAAATACCCCAAAATCAAAACCCAAATGTAACACAGGGCAGCACAAACCTGATCAATTGCAGATGGATTCTTGTAAATCATCAAAAGAACATCTAAATACCCAAAAATCGAAACCCGATACATAACATAAACAAGCACAAACCTGATCAATTGCTGATGGGTTCTTGAAATAATGGAAAGTTGAGACAAGGATAGCCAAGGCATGGACATGGTTAACACTGACACTGAATTGATCTTGCAACATCCTGGCTCGCTGATCGCACATGCTCACAAGCACTTCTTTCCTTCTCTCCTTGTTATCAGCATCCATTCCCCTGTATTTGATTCCGCTAGCAATGGCCATAATGAAGATCCAAATCACTAGAATTCTCCCAGCCCAAACTTTGTTGATGAATGTGTACTTCCTTTTTGTACCTAATTGCTCATTCAACCTCACAGCCACCAAATGGCGGCCTTGCATTTTCAGACCCATCAGTACAAAACTTCCTCTTCTTCTTCTTCCTCCTCACTTTCCCACTTCATTTCTGAGCTAAAACACAAGAACCCAGAATTTATATGTATACATACATACATCATACATACATGCAAGTTTTTCCAAACCAACAGACAGTTTTTTTTCAGAATCACTTTTTATGCAATACAAAAGAGAAAGGTACTCTCTCTACTACTTAAAGCATTGTTTTGCGTGATCCATTACCAGACCCCCAAAACCCCCAACCCAAAAATAATGATGAACACTCCTCTCTCTTTCTCTCTCTCTCTCTACATTTCCACAAAGTGGGGAGAGAAACCAAAAAAAAAAAAAAGGGTTTCTGAAGAACTATGGAACAAGCATGGCTTGTTTCAACCCTCAAAAGATGGACAACGTTCAAGTTCCGAAGACCTACCCTCTCTCTCTCTCTCTTTGATGTGGTTTTTGAGTATTTGAATGGAATAAAAAAATAGGAAGAACTACTCTAATCATGTCTTCTCTCTCTAAGCAAGCGTGAGGTTTGGTTGAGGAGTCGAGACAAAGCAGAGCACGTTCACTGCTCTCTCTCTCTCTCTCTCTGTTTTTATATAAACTAAGATCAAACAAGTTAGCAGATTGACCACCTCAAATATATATAAAAATCAATTGGTTAGGCTTGAATAACAGCAAAGCACAAGCACATACACATTCAACCGCCGAAAAAACAAAGAGAGAAAATCAGACCAACCTGTTTTGGATACATTGAACAGTACATGGGTTTTGCTTTGTGGGTTTCAATCTCTCAACTCTCCTTTCATTGAGTATATTTTATTATTAGAGAGAGAAATATATAATCTTCTTTACCTTACTTTTTTAAGGAACTGAATCGAATTTCAGGATTTTTGCAGATACGCTCTTGTCCCCCCTTAAACAATAAACAAATGCCAACTCTTCCTCTCTCTCTAACTTTCTCTCTCTCTCTCTCTCTCCACAACTTAACTCCCTCTCTCTCCTCTGTTTCGTTCTTCACTTACCCTCTTCTTTCTTATGAGTATATGCTCTTGTTGTTTTCAAGCTCTATTCTTGCAAGATTTTACTGGGTTTTTGAGTTGAAATTGGGAGAGGGTTTTGTGGGTTTTGTTCAATGATTGTTAGTCATTCAAATTATATAGCAGTAAGTTATAAAGTAGCACATAAAGTAGAGATTTGAGCCCACAGTTTTTACATTAGATACGATTTTTCTAAATTTGAAAATTTTGTCTTACCAATTATATTTATGATTACCCAAATAGCTAACTTTGGAGATAATAACACTTGAGACGTAAAGATTTATGCCCAAAGTCATACTAAAATGCCCCTACTTTTAGATTTTGTGGGTATAAAAATCCTCACATTTTTCGTAAATTTGAGAAAGGCTGTGTTAGGTCTTATTTGACATTATTTAAAGAAGTTAAAAAGTTAAAAAATTATTATCCTATTTAAATTACATCATCTTATTTAAGTCACATTACTTCTCTAATACATCATTTTAAATTTAACTCATACCCAAATATTTCATAAAAAGTCAAAAAGTACACTTATTTAGATTATCTCAAACCATCCCTTATATCATCAAAATATCTTACCATTCGTTTTAAATTAAAAATTATACCTTAAAAATTTACGCTAATTATTTAATATAAATTCCGTTTAAATCATAACTGAGGACTATTTTGAAAAGTAAGTAAAAAGGCATTCTCTAACTTTTAACGTATTTTCTTCTCTCAAAAAAAAAAAATTTAAAAAAATCAAAAAAAAATTTTAACATCTTTTAAAACACCCCCACAATGAAAAGGAAAATCAAACCCAACCCCCTCCGAATCAACTGGCCGTGCACACAGGAGTGTTTTGTGCGTATTTTGATTGGGAATGAATGGGATAAGTATGATGGTGTTTGGGAAGTGAGTTTTTACGTAGATTTTAGTAGATGTAGGTTTTTATGAGATAAAAAATTTTTAGTGTTTGGGAAGATAGTTGGATTTTTATGTGGTTGGATGTGATGTTTATGAGAGAAAAAGTGAAATGATTATGGAGTTGGATGTGATATTTTGTTTGGATGTGTTTTTTTTGGTTTTGCAAAACTTTTGTCTTTTAGTGGAAAAAATGAGAAAAAAATTTGGGAACTTGCTTCCCAAATATGTGTTGTGTGAAATTGGGTTTGGCCTGTGATGATGATCAGCAAGAGCAGAGTGGGTGTGAAATCATGGCCATTTTGATGATCAGAGCAGAGATCAGGTGAGCTCAGAGTAGAACAGGCCATGACGAGATGGGGTGCTTTCCCGGTCTCTCACTCTCCCTCTCTCTCTCTCTCACCTCACCTGTCTGTTGCTCTTTTTTTTCTTGTAAACAATTATTAATTTTGTTTGAAAATAAATTATTTTAATAATTTTTTATCAAAAAATATATAAAAAATAAAAATAAATAACGTGACAATTTATAATATTTTTTAATTTTTTTATTAAAATATATAATTGTCAAACGAGACCTTAAGTTGACCTAAGACATCATTTGTCAATTATGTGATGTTTTGAAAAATTAGTAAAAAATTAGTTTGTTAGCTTTATTAATCTATTTTGTCTTTTTATAAGTAAAAAATGTAAGAGATGATGTGACCAAAATAGATAAAAAGTTAAAAATTGACTCTTTTTTTTTGGCTGCCCAAAAGACCCATATATATTTTAATTAAAAAATCATTATAAAATATCACATTACTCTCTCTGCTTTCAAAATTCAACCCAAATACATATATTTTTTTATTTTTTATAAAAAAAATGTATAAAAATTAAAGAGATGAAATGATTAAAAAAATATACTTTTGTACTGCGATCCAAATATTCAAAAGTCCTGATGAGGATTTTCAATTTTTATTTTTTGTATTTTTTATTTTTCTATTTATATGAAAAAAATAAAATATAAAAAAATCGTGAATATCGCTATCGCATATCTTGGCGATAATGACATCGCGACAAGGTGCGGATCTCATTTCCCGTCAATTTACGTTAAAAAAACGCCGTCCCATTAATTTAGGTTTTTTAAGTTTTGTTTGGCCAAATTTTATAAAACAAATTTTAATTATTTTCAATTTTTTTATTTTTATGTTTTAAATGGAGTCTTCTAGTGGAATTAAAAGTTTAAAAAAAATGAAAAAGTTTAAATTCTTTTATTAAGACAAAATTTTAATAAAAAATTATTAAAAAAACATTTGTTAAACCCTGAATTACCATGTACTACCAAAGATAAGTGCCAGGAAACATAAATATCATCTTGGCAAATACCTTTTTATGTTATTTTGGAGAAAAATTATTCAGACACTTAAGTTTTGTTTGTTAATTATAGGATAAATTATTGATAAATTTCATTTAGAAGTGTTTTAATTCAAGAAGTTCATAAAAAAAAAATTTACCTATTTAGTCCCATGTATGTATAGTTTTATTCCATAAAGTCCTTTTTCTTGATTTACATTATTTTCTTGGACACTTATGCCCTTATATTTAATTTTGATACCCTTATAAATATGTTTTGAACGGTTAGCAATTTTATGATGTGAACATTTATATTTTAAAATTCACATTGGTAGGAATGTAAAATTGGCCCGTGAGCAACCCGAAACCCGCCAGCCTATGGGCGGCCGGGGGCGGGCCCGGTCCGGCCTCTTGACAATGTGAATATTCACATTGACATGTTAACATTCACATTAATAGGAGTGTAAAATTGGCCCGCGTCCCGTGGCGGCATGAAACCCGCCCGCGGCCTATGGACGGCCCGGGGCGGGCCGGTCCGGCCCGTTGACAATGTGAATATTCACATTGACTTGTTAACATTCACATTGATATGAGTATAAAATTGGCCCGCGGCCCATGGCTGGCCAAAAGCTCGCCTGCCGCCCTGGGCGTGCCCGGCCCGGCCCGTTGACAATGTGAATATTCACATTGACATGTTAACATTCACATTGATAGGAGTGTAAAATTAGTCTGCGCCTCGTGGCCGGCCCGAACCCGCCCATGGGCGGCCCGAGGCGGGCCCGGCCCGGCCTGGCCTGTTGACAATGTGAATATTCATATTGACATGTTAACATTCACATTGATAAGAGTATAAAATTGACCAGCGGCCCAAGGTGGGCCCAACCCGGCCCATGTTAACATTCACATTGATAAGAGTATAAAATTGACCAGCGGCCCAGGACGGGCCCAACCCGACCCGTTGACAATGTGAATATTCACATTGACATGTTAACAGTCACATTGATAAAAGTGTAAAATTGGCCCGCAGCCCGTGGGCGGCCCGAAACCCGACCGCAGCCCGAGGTGGGCTTGGCCCTACTCGTGACAATGTGAATATTCACATTGACATGTTAGCATTAACATTGATAGGAGTGTAAAATTTGCCTGCTACCCGAAGCTTGCTGCGCAGCCCGGGGTAGGCCCGGCCCGTTAACAATGTGAATATTCACATTGACATGTTAAAATGCACATTGATAGGAATGTAGAATTGGCCCGCGACCCGTGGGTTGCCTGAAGCCCGCCCACAGTCCGGGGCAGGCTCGTTTCGGTCCGGGCCCGAGCATGTCCGAGACCCTAGGTTAGGGCCTAGGTCATCACTTTGAAGCCCGGCCCGGCCCGGCCCATCGGCCCGCTTAAGGCCCATTCAAGGCTTGGTCCGAGGCCTAGCCCATCCGAGGCGAATGTATTTTTTTGTGGAAAATAATAAAATTTTGGTAAAAAAAATTGAAAAGAATTTTAAAAAAATGGCCAGACCCGCCCAAGCCCGACCTAAGCTTGAGGCTAGGCCTAGGCCCACCGGTCCAACTCGAGGCTCGATCCATCAACCCGTCCAAAGCCTGAATACCCTTGTGCCAGGGCTAGGGCCTGGGCCTAATTTTTTGGCCCGTGGGCCAGCCCGACCCGGCCCGGGAAAGGCTCGTTTGGGCCCAAGCTCGAGCCTAGTCCAAGACCCTAGGCTAGGGCCTGGGCCATCACTTTAAAGCCCGGCCCCGCCCATCGGCCCGGTTAAGGCCCATTCAAGACTCGGTCCGAGGCTCGGCCCGCACCGAGGCCTAGTGTCTTTTTTTGTGGAAAATAATAAAATTTTGGTAAAAAAAATTAAAAAGAATTAAAAAAAATGGCCAGGCCCACCCCGGGCCGTCCACGGGCCGTGAGCGGGTTTCAGGCAGTCACGAGGCATGGGCTAATTTTACACTCCTATCAATGTGAATGTTAACATGTCAATGTGAATATTCACATTGTCAACGGGCCGGGCCAGGCCCGCCCTGGGCCGCTGGCCAATTTTATACTCTTATCAATATGAATGTTAACATGTCAATGTGAATATTCACATTGTCAACGGGCCGGGCCGGGCCCGCCCCGGGCCGTGGACGGGCTTTTAGCTGCCCATGGGCTGCGTTCGGGCAGCCACGAGGCGCGGGCTAATTTTACACTCCTATCAATGTAAATGTTAACATGTCAATGTAAATATTCACATTGTCAACGGGCCGGGCCGGGCCCGCCCCGGGCCGTGGACGGGCTTTTAGCTGCCCATGGGCTGCGGGCCAATTTTATACTCTTATCAATGTGAATGTTAATATGTTCATGTGAATATTCACATTGTCAACGGGCCGGACCGAGCCCGCCCCGGGCCGCCCATGGGCCGCAAGCGGGTTTCGCGCCGCCACGGGACACGGGCCAATTTTACACTTCTATTAATGTGAATGTTAACATGTCAACGTGAATATTCATATTGTCAATGAACCGGGCCCACCCCAGCCCAACTCGAATTTTTCCGTGCACCCAAGAGGATCGACATGGGCCGGGCCCCTACATATTGACGATATGAACATTCACATTGATGGTGTGAACATTCACATTAGGGGTATTTTGGTAATTATGTCATCCATAGGACTTATTGAAACATAAGAAAATAATGTGAACTAAATGGAACATAAGTAGATGAAAATGGTATTTTGGTCTTCTTATCTCAAATAGGATCTAATGGAATAGTCAAAAAGAATATGGGTTGGATGGAATAAAGCTCTTAAAAAGTGGATTTATCAAAAAAGCTCCCTTAATTATATATTCTAATTAAAAAGTAAAAAATTTACTATAAGTTGTT